TTTTTTTTTCAAGTTCGCACCGTTGAAATCACCCGCTATGATGAATGGTTCCTCCCAGACGATGTGAGAGACTGATAATCTCTTACAGGAAACGTCCACTTCAAGTTATTGCTGCTAAAGAGGGTTCCACACTGCTGAATGCTGAATGACTTTTTTTTTTGGTTTAATGAATAATGACAAAGTAAAATTTGTGTGTGTTATCTATCACATGCCTAGATGTGGGGACTAAATGAAGGTCAGATATCTCTTTAATATGTAAAACCATAGAATCGTAAGGAGGTGTACTTTCTTTTTCACATAACTGTAAATTACATAATGAAAATTTGATACGTGTTCTCCATTTAAATTGGGTTTGAGAGAACTACTTTTGATTGGGACATTGTAATTTGTGATGAATCTGTCCATGACGTTCTCCAACTGACAAAGTAAAATAAACTCTCAATACAAGTAAGCTCTTAATCTGGTTTGTGTGCTTACTGCATAATCTTAATGTTCATGACAGATCATCTTAATTTTCACAGACAAAAAGAGATGTCCTAGTGTACACGAGTCTAAAGTTAGCACTGTAGTGAAAGCTAAGCTTTTATCTTAGTCAGGCACAAATAAGGTAATAATTGGCAAAGATCTGATATCCATAGATTACAAGATGAATGTGTATCCCAAGAAAAAAACATGTTTTATATTTGAAGTATTAAAATGGTTTTTAGAAAAAAAACAAATATATTTGAAAATATTTTTTTTCAAATACCTCCAGGTTTATTTAAATACCTAGGTCAAATACTACAGTACATCTTAATATTTAGAACTGTTGGAGCCATGAAGGGTTTGTGTACTGTAAAGTTACTGCTAATGATGCAAGCAACACTACTGTTATTGTTTTTACTCTTGTTACCATGTTTTTTAAGCTTTGATACGGTTATTGGCCGTATTAGCTGCAGTGTAATTGTCAGCATATCCCTGACACTGTCTCCTCAAAGACTTCCAAACTGAATACGCACCCCTGTGGAGTAGCAGGGGGGTTATAAATCTGGGAGCACAGCACTCACATGATAAAAGAATAAAAGAACACTGATGAGCTGCCTACAAACAAATATGATGAACAACAACTAAGAAAAACAACAGCTGATTGATACAGTAGGTCAACAATATTTTGACAGAAACTTTTACCTCAGAGGTCTCCAGTCCCAATTAAGGAGTTTCAGTTTTAAATATTTTTCTTGTGATATAATCATGGGGATCTGATGCCTAAACATTTTATCTCATGTCTTCCAAGTTACAATCAATGACAAGAAATAAAATATTTAAGATTTTTTTTACATCCTTTTCAATAAAATGACAATTTACTGGACAAAGAATGGATGGCTGGTATGTTCCTTGTTGTGTACTAACCCATAGCCCAGCACATCTGGAAAGTATTTCCCAATCGGGCAACACTAGAATAATGCACCCCAGGTATCTTACCCTAGGTGAAGAAGAATTCTGGTACCTGTGAGATCAAGGATTAGTGTGCACTGTTTAGCACTAGAGCATAAACTGGGCAATTTAAAAACTTGTTGTAAATTAATATACTGTACTTGTTAGAAATAAGTATGTTGCAAAAGCCAGATTTCCTTTTCAAAAATAAGTTCTTCAAATTGCATTAGAGATTAAGTCAAGTATCTAAAAAGCTTAAAATATATTGACACTTTAATACTTTTACTGGGCTAAAGTTTGGGATAGATTTTGAATATGTCTGTTTCCATCATTTCAACATTGCATAACAATTGTATAACAATGGAGAACATCCTATTGACAGTTAATTATAGTTTCTATTTCCAGTGGCTTGCATGTTATCAATTGCTTCAATTTTGAGTAACTGTGCACCCTACTATATCCAAACGTCACCTACACTGATGCCTGGTGCTGTGAGGCACAAGAATTGTAGTGCCGCACTCCCTCATTGGCCTCAGAAAGCAAACCTTCATGCTGACAAAAAACATGCTTCCTATCAGTGTTTTGAAAAGTATATCGTTTACATTCTCATGCAACGGCATGGATCCAAGTTATTCAGTGCCAACCCGCAAGGCCGCAAGAGATATCTGTCAGTCTGAAACTTGATCTTTGGTCCAGTTGTCAAATGAATTCCTGCCAAGGAGAAACAGGCCTGTCTATTCTGGAGTCTTCATAAACATGAACAGCTGGAGGAGATACTTGGATCAATAAGCTAACACTACCAAACAAGACTCAAGGAGCTGGATAGCGTCCTTGCACGTGTAACCATTCTTATCTTATGTTCATAGTGCCATGCTCAAATAAGCTATTCAAGAGTCACCACACTGGAGAGCAGATTGGAAACACTTGTGAGGAAATCTGAGACCACTACAAGTCTACACAGTAGTTACAGACAATGCAAGCAACACGATGGCTGTCTTCTCTTTCTTTGAAGAGATTTCGTCTGCACAGGAAGACGATTTTGATGATGAAGAAGAGGGAAGTCAGGATCTCGATGAAGGTAACTTTCCTGACAGGTGTTTTGCAGCTCACTATTAAAAACAGCCTTAAGTCAGCAGACTGTATGAACAAACCAATTGTGAAAGCTTCCAGCATCGTCATCCACTGCCAAAAGCCCTTTTTCACACCAGACGACTTGAAGGAGAACAATCACCTGCAACCTAATGCAGTCACAAGGTGGAACTCTAGGCTGAAAATGATTTGTTCAGTTATCAAAGCTGATGAAACAAAGCTAGAAAACTTACCAGACACCAAGCTGTCCATCTTTGAAAGGAAGTGCTCAGTAATTCAACAGTTGATATCCAAGCCCTTTTGAAGATACCGTAGATCATATGCAAAGATCTCATATTGTTACAGCAATCTACATCATCCCATGTGTTGGAGACCTTTTCAGAAATCTTCATTGTAGCTTTTTGCAAGTACAAAGGCAAGCTCATCAACAGCCTGAATGCAAAGCATCTACAAGAAAAGTGAATTAGACAAAGCAGACACAGATCCATGCTTTAAGTTAGTGTAGCGTGACAACTGTGAGAACGCCACTGTTACAGCTGATCTTAAAGAGTTTGCCTCCAAATTAATCAGAATAACATAGGATGTGCAATCCATGGAACGTCCAGCTAGGAAAAGTGCATTTTACTGTCATGGAGCAGTCCACAAACTAAGGAGTATCCCAGCACCCCACGCCAGTCACCACCAGATGATTCGTTTTCATTCTGGAGTAGACGGAGGAAAACATGCCCTACATAAAGCAGACTGGCAGCTGAGTGCTCTCATGTGTCTGTATCCCCTGCTGCTGTTCAGGCCTGTTCGCTGCTCACTCTCTGATGATCTCTAGCATACTCGGTTTTTAAAATGCAACATGGCTAATTTTCCAATGACTCTTGAATTAAGCACATGTACGTGATGGGGTGTTCAGTGTACGTGGTTATATTTTATTCTTTACTTATAGTAAATAGTAAGTAAAAAATGTATAAAAGGTCTTCAGACTCAGTCAGAACCTTTACAATGGATTCAGATTAGAAGGCTGTGATAGCAAATCTAGCACTGATTTCTGTTTTGAAATTTCCTTGATCATCTTGCAACATGCTTCAAGGTCTTGGCATTATAAATTGCGAGTTATCATCCCTCAGTCTGAGTCACTAGCACAACAACACCATGATGAAACTGCACCATGTTTGACATCTTATCTATTGTCAACCTCCATACGAATGGTGGTCAGTCCCAGTTTGGAAAATAATATTCTTGACTCATTAGAATTAGAATTTATTAGGATTGATCCTCTGTGTTCCTTGGCTTTATTGATAGGATCCAACTGAATCCCACCTCATTCAATGGAACGAGACACAGAGCAGTCAGTGGAACTGATGGAAACCCAGCCAGCCAGTACAGAGCTGACAGCTTCAGACAGCAAGTCCAGGTCTGTAAAATAGATCATCATTATTTATTCTGCTGAGAATTTCTGCATGTCCAACTCACTCAGCTCTAATGCTGTTGTGAAAGTGTGTTGCTTTACATTGTTTTTTTTTTCACATTGTACCATTAGGATTCATTGCCTTGTGGGAAAGAGCCACACATTCCATTTGGAAAATAGAAATGGTAAAAAAAAAAGATCAGCTTCTGCACCTTCCAGTGTGTAGTGTCTTCATAAAGAGGAGTCTTGCTTTTAGAGTTTTCAGTGACTTCACAGACACTGTTATTTAATATAAGGGGTGGCCAACCCAGGCTCTTGAGAGCCAGAATTCAATGGATCACCCTTAAATCAGTTTGTAAACACTTGGAACAATTAGTTTTAATCCCTTAAAGTAGGTTTATTGTTAAAAAATGAATAAAGATCAATAGAAATGCAAATGCCTTGACTTGACTTAACTGAACCAATTAACCTACATAACTGATCCAAACTCCCATGTATGAATCCAGGTGCTTTCCTGCCTTTTATAATATTGATGATTTGAGGGTGACGTTTGGTCAGCCGGGTTGATGTGGGTCAGCCCTGCCGGTTATCGTCGCAGATGTGGGGTGATGCTTTTTCTCCACAGGGGCCGAGGATCTAAGGGGCGTGGTCGAGGAGGCCGGATGGGGCGAGGCGGCAGAGGTGGTAGGGGCATGATGATGAAAGGGCAGGGCACTCCAGGGAGAGGCAGGGCCAGAGGCAGAGATGGGGCCACAAATGGATTTGGACCTGGAAGGTAGTACATTATCACGTCAAGTTTGCGTCCATAGAAACTGACCTTCACAGGGAATAAGTCTCTGTTTGATCACTCCTCCAGACTGTTCATGATAATCATTATGCTAACCTGTGGACTTTTAAGTACTAGGAAAACATGTGGTAGTAATCCCTTTTTTCAGCAGCTTGACCTCACTTTGAGATACTCGAAAGGCACTCAGAAATTAAATTGTGTTATTATTGTAGTTGAATAATTTGCATGATCTTTGTTGATACAGTTCCCTAGCCTGCTATTAACTGAACACTGGGTTGGGCTGCGTATAACCCAGATAGATTCAATACCTCCATTGATAAAAATCAGCATTACAAACAGCTATATGAATGAAAACACACATATATGACTTTTTGTCTGGGTTCAGTTGGACGGGTGACTGAAGAAGAACTGTCAGTTTATTTCTTTGGCTCTCTTCACTTTGATCATACAGTATCTGTGCTCTTGCAGGCGAGGCATGGGGAGAATGAGGCCATATCCTGACCCGTGTGGCCGAAGAGGGGGCAGGGGAGGTCCCATGGGAATGGCCCCGCCCCCTCCTCCTCCTCCTCCTCCTCCACCCCCTCCACCGCTTCACATGAGAGGACCTTACCCTCCCATGCCCAGGTGAGGGAGAGTGTGATCCGATCCTTGATCAGACCTGCAGGATTCACTCGTTGGGGTTATAAGGTGGTGTCGTTTTGAGCTGCACACTGAGCAGAACTTAAAGTGTTGATCCATGGTTTAAAGCCAGGATGCAAAGATTTATATGTCGTCATTGTTCAAGAGTGTACCATTTCCTCAGATCCCCCACTTGGGCTTCTAGAGCTTGGAACTGGACATTTGTAAACCAATTTAGTGGCTCTCTCACTTTCAAAGGGTCTCACACAGAACAAACCTGCTGCTGGTGGTATTAGTTTGGATTAGTCTGGGTATATGATACTGAATGTACCATAGGCCACTTGCCAGGATCCCAACAAGTCTGCATCGAGCAAAAAAAAATGTCACAAGCAAAGGAGGCCATTTGGCCCATCTAGGCTGTTTGGTAATTTTGTGGACCAAAACTAAACAATATATTCTTATTGAGGTAGTTCAGGTGGGTAGCTGCATCAGCATGCGTAGGCTACAAACGAACAAGTAATGGGTTTATTGCATGCTAAAAGAGAAGAAAGAAAACACAACATTTCGGCTGTGGAGCCTCTCTTCTTCTTCACATCCAAAGAAGGCTCCACAGCCAAAATGTTGTGTTTTCTTTCTTCTCTTTTCAACATGGAATAAACCTATTACTTGTTCGTATTCTTATTGAGGTCTTACTTGTGCATTGTATAATTTCAACATAACATCCCTTGATTTAATCATCTTTGCACAGGTAGCATCTTGAGGCTCAATATTTTGCATGTTTCAATAGTTTTTTTCATGTTATCACACTGCACTTAGGATCTGCAGTTCCTGCACACTCCAGTTTAATCTGACAGGTGTTTTCCCAGTATTGATTTTTACTGTGGTTGACATTGTTGTCTCACAACACTGGGGCCTAATTCTAGACCTGTGTGAAATTCTGTGTGGAATTCTATCTGTGTGGAATCTGTATGTTTTCCCCATGTTTTCGTGGATTTTTGCTGGGTGCTCTGATCTCCTCCCCAAACTGTCCAAAGACTTACTGATACATTAATTGGGAAAATTAATCTGGGAAAATTGGCCTTGGTGTGTGTGTGTGCCCTGTGATGGACTGGCGTCCCTTCCAGGGTGTACCCTGCCTTGCGCCAGTTGTTTGCTAGGGTGGGCGCTGGCTGCCCTGTGACCATGTATTACATGAAGTGGTTAGAAATGGAATGGATGGATTTTTTTCTGATCTTCATAATCGTTCATAATCGTTCTCCTGTGCTCTCTACGTTGTTCATCCTACTGTGGTACAATCTGCGAACCTGACTAGCATGCACTAGCATCATCAATTTTGGGATTAATAAAGTCTTATCTCTTACCTATCTACCAACTGTACCAGAATCCACATCATCAGATATAAACTGTGGAGTAGCAGCCCTGATACTTCAGATAGGCTGTAGTCCACACTCCACAGTGAAATCTGGCTGTTACCATGGAGACGAGGCTGGCAGAGATTAACGATGTTTCTCCTCCTCCTTCCTTGTCTGCAGACCTGGCCTGCCCCCGCCTCCTCGGCCAGGACACCCGGGCTTCAGGGGCCGGCCTCCACTGCCCCGCGGGAGAGGGCTGCCTCCCGGCCCCCAGGGGCCCTTCCACCCTCGAGGGTAAGACCACTATCGGCCACCCCTTCAGTCCGCCTCCTTTCAGTCCCGAGCTTCTCTCTGCGAGGCTCTTTTCTCTTTCCTTTATTATTATTTTTTTTATAAAATCTGTTTTAAAATTAATTCAACGTTAGAAATTCAAAAACCAGTAAGGCTAACTTGTAAAAATAATATAGAAAAAGAAACCCAAACAAACAGATGGCTAACGTTCCCTGAGGGGGGGGAAAAAAGAGGAAGCCTCTTAAAGATTTTTACAATTTCTGTTTCTTTTTAGTTATTGGAAGCCGTAAAAGATGCATGAGTAATTTTGTTAATCCTATGACATATATGATGCTTATGATCGCCGGAGAACAGGGGATGTGAGGAGCAGAGCCCAGCGGAAAGCCTGGGCAGAGCTCCTTTCGAGCTGCAGGGTAGAGTATGCGAGTGGCTGAGCAGAAGAGAATCCAATGTGTGATTTTATCCTTTTACACAGCTTTCCCAACGGACCTGCCGCTCCGCCGCCTCCTCCGCCACCTGGCAGGGGCCAGCGGTGGCCTGGGCCCCCAGGTGGCAGACGCTTTTAAAGCTGCTTATGTTTAATACCAAGCGCTTTTAAAATAAGGGGGGGGGCGCTGTCCACACTCACTATCCCACCCCACGTGGGCTACGAACTAAAAACCCCCACCCTCCGTCTCCCCTCTCGCACAGGCCCAAGATGACAAAATTGGGATTCTAAGACACCCCTCCCCCTCCTCCCCCCTCTTTGGAAGATAAAAAATTCACAAGGCCACAGTATTCACAAGGCCACAGCACTCCACTACGGACATGTAAACGATTTTAACCCCAAACACGCCCGCTTTAGAAGAAGACTCGATCGTATTCCTGAGCTAAAAAATTCAAAACGTGTACAGCATGCCGTTTCGAAGAAGAGTGAAGATTTTTAAGCGCTTTAAAACTGAAGTATTGGAATGCTGTTCCCCTTTTTGAATTTCTTGGAAAGAGGAGGGGGGTGCCGACAATATAAAAATGAAATGAAAGCTTACATACTTGCGAATCCAACTGTGGCACTCTCTGAAACGACAGACACTTTTTGCCCACAAAGCAAGAGATTGAGATACAAATCAATTAAACAAACACAGACTGAGAGATGGCAGAATTTCAATATCTTTACAGCAGCCCTCATGCACCAGTGTTGATTAGTTTTATATTTAGTCCTGTGACTCCTTGGACCTTTCCAACTTTTGTTAAATATATATATTTTTTAAATGTCAACTTCAAAATACAGTATATGCTGTAAGGACTTGTACAAGCATAAGATCCTATTAATTGAAAGATCAACAAGCCAACATGTTTATCAAGAAACCTTCAGAGTTATAAGATCCCTAATGTGCAGCTATATGAAGTTTTAAAGTGTTGTTTAGAAACATTTATGTTTGTGTACTACAAGCTGTTGTGGAATGATCTTTTACGAATGGATATTAATGGATATACTTTTTGAAATAACGTAACTATATATATTTATAAGCAATTTACTAAAAGTAATTGCTTTAGTTTAGGATTAAATTAGTATTTAACTGTGTTTAGGTTTGAAGTGTTATACTTTTAAGTATGTAAGTCATGTGGATTTGTGAATGTACTTTTTGAAAACAAAGTTAAAAACTTTGGCTAAGTCATGAAGGAAAAAATAAACTAAAAATAAAATGTGAACTGTTCCTTTTTATTATTTTTAACTTAAATCTGTAAATGTTTTTCCTTTATCTACAGCTGGACTTGGTTAACATGTCAGCTTCAAAGTTAAATGTAATTAATATGGAAAAAAATGTGGAATATCACATGTCACAATATGTGCACTGTATAATCACTCTAGAGTTACAATGGTCACAGTACTGGTAAAATAATTTTGTTGTATAAACAGACCTGTTTTTCCTAAAAGTGCAATTAATATGTTAACTGCACTTCTTTATTTTTAAATTAATTGCGACAGAAACAGTGTTAAATCTGTGGAAATCAGAATGTAATATTGCACTGATTGTTAAATGAATGTTTAAGTTGGAGGACCAAGAGCATATATGGAAAACTGTATTAAAAGATCTTCACAGCTTGTAAGTTATATTCTGAATCTGCAAAAACATGCTTTTTCCTTGTGCTGAGGGCTGAGTCAGTTTGCAATTGCTTATCTTAGACTAGGGCACCATTGGACGACATTGTCTACATTTTAATGAAGAATCGTTCATTTTTGACAAGTATGACAGACAGGTGGGATAAATCCTACGTTCTCTCTGGCTTCCTGATTTCTAATTTGTTAAAGAAACAAATACAGACATTTCATTGATTTAAAGCATGTCTGTCTTGAAAGAAACCTTTGATTGCTCAGATATATTTATAGTAAGTGGTGGTAGGACTCAAATGTTTTTTTTTGTAAACTTTGTATTGCATATAATTTATTTTCATTATGCAACAATCAATAGCAATGCATGAAAATGCATGTAAAGGTGCAATACCTCAGACTAAAATGTACAGGTAAACAAATCTATATGCATTTTTGACTGCATAGAAATGGTCATTTGTACTGGGTGGTCTGCTGGGCAGATATGGGGGTGTCCCTCTTTACAGTATCTTTGATAAAGTCACCGTGTGAAGTCACTAGACATCGCCAGTGTTACCTTCCAACAAGCAAAATAAGCCGTGAAGAAGGTTTACTAGAAACATCAAAATGTTAGATTCTGAACAATTTGAGGACTAAAAAAATGCATCTCAACTTTATTACGGAAAGGCCTGATATCTGTATAACTTTAGTTAACTTTGTCTTATATACAACATGTTTCAGTGATTTCAGGAAAATATACCATTAAACACTTGTCGTTACATTTTATATTTTGAAGTGTAATTGAATTTGAACTAGAAATTCTGCTTTGTGCTGGTTTCTATATACGGACTTGTACCTAGTGGTCTACTACAGTGCTGTCCACAGTAATGTATTGATAAAACACTTAGTTCATTAATTATTATTTTTCATGTTTCAGTGAGAGAACTAAACAGTGTAGTCAGTCTCTTTTTAATTTTGTAGCTAAAGCAGATGGATTTTGAAAAACTGAAAGTCAAAAATGGAAAAAAACAATATTACTAAATTGATCTGTGTTCACGTCTTTGCATAAGCTTGACCTGTTTTATGCTACATGCATTTACTTTGATTTCAAATCTGCTTCAAGGAGCGTGACAGTCGATGCTAGAATCTGAATCCAGCTTCACACTCTTGATTACTTTGCTCAGACTTGAGAACACATAATATAAAGCCTAGTCATTGTTTTGTATGAAAACCAACATGAAATTTAATTTAATGTACTGGGATCTAATTATATGGAATTTAAAAAGAGCTTTGAAAGAGTCTCCATGGACATCCAGTGAAGAAAAAAGACCAGATTTGAATTACTTTTTGCAAGTATTGCAAGATGCATTTTTAAGTGGTAAGCATTTCACTGCCCCCCCTTTTATAGATGCTTTTTGTTTCTAAATAAATATTTCTAAGCAATTTTCTATACAGGTGTTGCACCTTTTACAGTCTTGATTTTTTCTGCATATGTATATATTTTTTTTTTGCTTCTGCCACGTTTAAAGTTGAAATCCTCCGGATGGCTTAACGGTAAAAGATTGATGCTGTTGTTGTCTCCTGAAGGGTAACATAGTCACCCTTTTGAAGCCTGCGGGAGAAGGCATGCAGACCCTCCAGGAGCACACAGCCAGCACCCAGCAGAGGTGAGACTCCTTTTGTGTCTGGCTTTCTAACAGCAGAGCTCTACGGGACTGACAGGCTTCTCTTCAGGGTCTTCACAAGCAGAAAAAGAGGGATTTAAGTGCCAGAACTGATGCACTGCTCTTAGTTCAAGTCTGCAGCCAGCGCTCTTTAGACAGTTCCATTGTGTTTTTCTGGAGAATCTGAAAATTGAAATTTGCGTTATAAAAGCATGTACAGTATGTTAATGACATAACTGCAATTTTCGATACACATTATGTACTACAGAAAGGTTAATTAAGACGTCAAATTCTGGCTTGTCAAAATGATTTACTGTATTTAATGGAAAATGCAGCTAAATCTTCTTGAGCAAATTCTCATATTAGCCATTAAATGATTCTTCACACTTGTATAATATTGCTCAGAACTTGACGCATATGAACTTTGAAATTGAAGTATTAATTTTCTGTCTTAGATCAGACATTTTGCCCATTAATCTTACATGAAGCTATGAACGTGAAGATGAACTTCACTGAAGTTCACCCCTCAAACCATAGCACACGGTTCAAGATTTCTTGAAAGCGTGATTGCGGTCATTATAATTTAAGAATATTTAAATTCTGTCCCATTCATCTTCTCAGATGAAATACTGTGATGGACTAAAATACTGCTTTAAATATTAGTGTACTATTTAGTGAAGAAAACCAAGTCCAAACTTCAAAGTCCCTTTCATTTTCTGTCTGTTTTTCTTTTAAACTTACAGTATATTTTAAACATGCATTTTAAATGCATGTTTGATGTATTAATGTCGGCAATACAATTAGACTGTTTTCGGATTTCAACATCCAGAGTTTTCAGTTACAGCAGTTTGATTTCATATTCACAGCAAATTACAAAATGATAAACTAAATTATGGAATCATTGAGGTTTTTAATTTACAATCTGCTGCACAAGTGCATTGTGATTATCAGTCTTCAATTATCATGCTATTTATCACAATAGACATGAATGCTTAAAAGTCATGATTTAATGCCATTTATTAGCTGGAAAAAAATGATTTAGCATGCAGGCCTACAGTATGTCAAAACAGTGCTGTATTATAAAATACAATTTGAGACCCTCCGGCTAAGGTATCTCACATTTCTTCACAAAATGAAAAAACAAAGCAAAGCTCATTGACTAAATACACTCCTATTCTATTCAATTACACACAAAAAAAAAAACGTTTTCAGCTGGGATTTTAAAGGATTTGGCTTCGAGTATTCATAATGTTGATGGAATGGCTGTAGCTCACGCTCACAGCTCATTTTCTTTAACAACACTAGTCCATTTCCTCCTCTGTCTTATCCACCCAAATTTGATGAATCTATTTATTTTGCAAACGTAACAAAGCCTTAATAATGTTTGTTTCAATGTGATGCACACAGAAATAGGATTTTTCTGGCAAGCATCACTTGACTCACTTTTTAAATTTTAAATCGAAAGTCTACTAGTACAGTATTCTTTACTTTTGTGTGAGAGACTCCTTTTCTGTGACTATTTGTGATTTTTCCTTTGTTACGGTGCAGTTTATTTTACTTGTCCTGAAGAACGAATCCCTTCTCAGTCATAATATAAAAATCTAAATATTTTTGTAAGGTAAAAAGCAAAGAACAAGCAGTTCTGTGTAAAGAGATTTTTTGTCACCACCATAAAGATATGTTGAACTCTAGCTCCAGTGTTAATGAACCTTCTGGGACAGAAAACTATACAGCAGCTGCTCCTAAATCTGTAGTCACTGCAATGCTGCACTCATAAAGTAATTTGAGACAGTAATTTCTCTGCTACTCCTGGTCTACTCCTTAAACTCACATACACTGTATGCCTCATACTGTACAGTATATGTCTCTCTTTATAGTGCTAAATAACAATCAAATTTGAATGCATGGTAAGTGATATTATAAAACAAAATCACAAGTTTTAAACATTTGTTGTTAAGTGAATGGTTTGTAGCAGTTCAATGGACTGACTTCAGATAAAAGTTGGCTGTGAGTTGCCAATGATAACAAAACTGCCATACTTACTGTTGGCTCCAATGGCTCGCATTGTGAAAATAGAAGATGGCCTGACAGCGCACATCCTGGAAGAGGCACGTTGCAGTCTTGTGCCGGTCTGAGCACTACTGATTCCAAATTATTGTAACTTGAAAATAAAACAATGCTATTTCTAAATTTTAACAGAAAATAGAATCAAATGGATCATTAAGATTCAGTATTTCTGCCCGATTTGTAACTCCCAAAATATACCGGGTATCATTTTGTTGTTAAAGCCAATATCCACAATTGCCCTAAATGCTTTTTAGGATAAACACAACTCACTCAGTTTTGGAATTTGCACTGATCCCATTATTTATTAGGGGCTTAGACTGATTGCATTATTATATGCACTATACAGTGCATTGCAGAAAGTATTCTGTCCCTTGCACAGTTTTTTAAAGTTTGCAGTTATGACACTTGGCAGTAGAAAATTATGTATGTTACATACACACTTTACTCCACATCTCCACAGAAAAAAACAAAAGGAAAGAAAGAGTTGGTTCAGTCTGTGTTTAACAAAAGTAGTTCACATGATCACATATACCCTTGTCTGTCAGATCTCTCAGTGAGGTAGTAATTTTCCAGGAAAAATTCAACTGCGAAGATTACAAATCAGATCTTCACAAGAAAGGCACAAACCAGGAGGAGGGTATACAAATAAAAACGCCCAATATCCCTTTGAACACTGTGAAGTCAATCATTAAGAAGCAGGATATGTGCAAACGGGCAAGTAGTAAATTGGGTATGGATGCAGAGGTGAGTCCAGCAGTGACTTTGAGCTCAATGGCATACTGTAGATGGGAGCAAATGTCCACAGGTTGCATAACCTAGTCAGTCACACTCCATAAACCTGGCCTGTATTCCAGCCTATATGAGTGGAAAAAACATCATCCCACATGGTAGTTATACCAAGCCATTTTAGTGATAGTGCAACCATGTGGCAAAAGGTTTTGTGGTCAGCCAAGACAAAACTGGATTTTTTTTGTGGATATATTTAGCACCATCCCAAGCACTGTGGTGGCAGCATTATCTTATTGTTCTGCTTGTCAAGTTTGATGAGGGATATAAATGGAACAAAGTACTGGCAAATCCTAGGGAAAAGTTGATTCAGATTTAAAATTAGTATAAAAATTCATCTTTCAGCATGAATGTGATAACAAGAAGAAAACTAAAACAGTCTGCTAAAGCTTTTCTGCAGGATAATGACCCAAAACACAGGGCCAAAGTTACATTGAGCATGTTACATTGCAACTGCAATTAATGCCAAAAGTTTTTCGACCAAATATTGAGTTTATTGGTCTACATCTACTCATACAATCAATATATTTAAGTTTTTGGTCTCTTTAGATTTTACTGACATTTGCTGTAACACTCCTTACCCATGGAAGTGTTTGGTTTGAGCATTCAGGTTTTAAATAAAATATTAATAAAAATGTAGGCATTTGTATAATGTAACCATTTTATAGTTTCACAGAATGAGACACCATTGGAAGGGAATGCATATTTTTCCAAGGACCTGTATACTTCAGCATCTTTTTTGCTCCAGTGTCTCTCAAAAAGACCTACTGCCATCTTTGGATCGTGGTCCCATTTAAAGTATTCTTATGAGGCATGGTTTTCAGGTATTTAAGTACATTTGTTTGAACTGTTTCAGTCTGGAAGGTTTATAAAAGAAGCTCTGCAGAGTTGGAATAAATGTTGCACAAACTTTATTGTAATCATTTAAGTTGCGTATTAGATTAATGATGGATTTCACATTGCACTCAATCTTGCCCTTGCCCATTGGTAAAAGAATGGAATAGTGGAATTCCAGTAGTGAAAAAATGATCTGAGGTTTGCTGCACACATTAATTTAATTCAAGTATTAGTAATGCGAATATCTGTAAAGAAATTCAGCCTAAGGCTTGAATTATTGTCCCATCTCACTCCTTCTATCACAGCCCAACACTCAAACACAGGTATGAGACAGTGTCCAGGAGATCTGTATGCCCCCTAAGAGCTCAGAGCTTCAAGTTTATTCCTCCTTCAGTCACCCCTTAATTACCCGGTAAATTAGGTAAAGTACATATATGGTAAAGTGGATTCTAATCCTGAGTTATATGATGTAATACTTCTGTAAATATAGTCTTGAATCACTCTATTTTTTAATATTATTCATATTGCAATGTCATTGCGTACTATAACACACAATGCAAATAGCTGTGAGAATTCAGTCATATACTGACACTGTTCTTTAATTCTTCTGATTTAATGATTTTGTTCTGTTGGTTTTATCTAAAATTATTGCAATCACATTATGTGTTTACATCCATTGACACTGCTGTTTTCTGGACTACTGTGTCAACTAATAGTTATGGTTTTGAGATGATTATGAAAGACCCTCATTGTTATCCTGCTTACAGGATAATTTGCATTTAGAAATAGCTGCAAACACCAATGAGGACATTGTTTTTAAAAGATGATTAAGACTGTAATTGTTTAAATTAAAACTAATAAATCTGCCACTTCCTTGGAAGTGTTTAGGAATCCAAAGTTTGGGACCTCTGAAAGCTAAAATTAGTATTTTTATGTGGAAAATTGAAAACATGATTAACTATAGAGAATTGCTAAATATGAATCCCATATCAAATATATCAGATATCAAAGATATCTTTTATTATTTTTATAAATTATATTGACTTGACTTGCTCTACATATGTTTTGAACTATCCTTAATGCCTTAAAAAACAAGTGACAATGGCTTAAAAACAAAAAGTGTGAAGTATTTAATCACAATTGTATGTTTTTTTCAAATGTTTTCAAATCAGATTAAAAATATTAGTAAATCACGTTAAAATATAAGGCTAATGGCAAAGTGGTAAGCGTCTCTGCCTCACAGCGTTGAGGCCCTGGTTTTAATTCTGGGCCCGAGGTGCTGTCTGTGTGGAGTTTGTATGTTCTCCCCGTGTTCAGATGGGTGTCCTTTGGGTGCTCTTGTTTCCCCCCGCAGTCCAAAGATGTACTGTAAAGTGGTTGGATGGACTTTTTTCTAAATCGTTATGATTTTCCTGTCCTTGCTTCATTGTTCGTTAATCCTTAAATATATCCTTATCTAGTGGTGCGTTCTTTTAGACGGAAGCACAATACTTGTGCCTTTAATTACCACTTGCTTTGTTTCTTGAGCTGATTATGGAAATAGGCTGGCTGAATTTTTGGCACTCTCAGGCAACTGTTTCACGTATAGAACTGTGTAGCAGGACTTTCTTAACCATGCTGGAGGCCATTGATCAATTCGAGAAAAAGCTGAAAAGCGTGACATGGTGGTGTAGTGGTTAGCACTGCCGCCCTACAGTGCTGGGGCCCAGGGTTCAAATCTGGACCTGGGGTGCTATCTGCATGGTATGTATGTTCTTCCTGTGTTAGCTTGGGTTCCCTCTGGGTGCTCCAGTTTCCTCCCACAGTCCAAAAACATACTGGTATCTTAATTGGCTTCTGGGAATATTGACCCTGGTGAGTGTATGTCTGTGTCTGCCCCATGATGGACTGGCATTGTGTCCAGGGTGTACCCTGCCCTGCATCTATTGGTTGCCAGGATAGGCTCTGGCTCTCCTGCATTGAATTGAACACTGTTTAGAACTGGAAACAGGCAGAAAATGAATGGATGGATGTTCTTATGAAGGCAGACATTACTCACCCATTTGTCAAAATCAGGAATTTAACTGAGATATATTTCAGTCACTTTGTGTATTGGACAATATAAGCTTCCTTAAAAACTCATCCCTTCATGACATTAGTGAAAAGTCAGATCCAAAGTAATATTTTAATTAGTTGGACACCTTATGTTTTTGTTGTGAAGGATTAGGCGAACATTATTTACCAAGCATGTTTAGAAAAGACAAAGCTAACCTCTGAATGGACCTCCTATGATACCAGCATTAATTTTTTATACATTTAAATTTAATTGAATTCCATGTTTCAGCTCTGTCAAAAAAGTCTTCACTAATAGACTTGTTCCTCCACATCTTAACGTTGCAGATCTGCTTGTGCATATTCATATATTCTGCAACAGACACAGAACTGTAAGTATTCCTGCTTGTTTTTTTTTAAACTTCCACATGGAGTATGGGGTGTTTTCAAGTTTATTTGTACACTGATGTGCATTCAAAATATTTAATATGTGCTTTTTGAATGAGTATTTAATGCTAAAAGTATAAAATGGGATTGATTTTTCTATCAAGATCAGAATGAAGAGTATAATTGACAGTTTGCATTATCTGTTTAGGCAATCATTGTAAGTATCAGTTTTTAAAATGATAAATACTGTGGTAAAATATATGAAACAATAAATCCATGGAATGCTAACCATGAAGAATCAGTGTTGTTTCTACTTAATACCAGTGCACTGGAAATTGAATAGGATTAAAAGAAAATGGCACCCAGTTGCATATATTGTCATGTGATGCCTCTTTCAGGATAATGTATTGTCACACAAGCTTAGGTGTATTGCTGCCTTTTATTACCCGGTACATGAAGAAGCTGTGAAGTGTTAAATGTGTTCCTTTCAGAACATTTCAGTCATTATGATGTTTGTGTGATTGGATGACTTGTCAAATGTGTTCCAGCAGCAATGAGATCACTAGGTTAAATGTGTTGGCATGAACTAAGCTCCTGTAACTGTTACAGCTAGACATTGCAAGTCATGTCAGTTATTGTACCAAATATACAACAGTACTAACTGAGCTAATTCTTGCACATGGACTATAAGCCTCTTTTGTCCTGCTCATGACTTTACATTTGTCAGAGAATTTCTTGACTTTGAAGAATTAATGGGAAGGCAGGCTACAATTCCTTCTTTGGTAATAAAAGGTAGTTTTTGTCATATTTGTCAGACAAGTTCTGTAAATGTGCATCCTAGGTGTTCATGGAGAAACTGTCTCAGCCTATACAGTACTGAAGTAGTGTTTTGACATTGCTTCATTGTCCTAATTGCTTCAATGTAAAAGTGGGTGTTTTCACTATAAAGAAGCAGCTTCAACACCATCATAACTTTTGAATTTGATGCAATGTTGTCCATTTAATGCTTATTATAGGTACACGGTTTTTCTGTTTGAAGGCTGGATATACCTTGGACATGATGCCAGTCCATCACAGAGCACATATAGACACACACACACTCACACCAAAGCAATTCCTACTGCAAGCCTGTTTACTTGTAGGCTAATAAGAACATCTCAAGCCTGTTTACTTGGGCTTGTTCACAGAACTTCACCTAACTAGTCTTATGCCACTTGTCATAGATTGCATTTAAGGCATGGCTACTCAACATGTAACCTTTCCCATCAAATTCTTTACACAGAACATTAATTGTTTAAAAATAAAAAAGGATAATTTGGTTACTGGTTCTATCAAAGTACAGCACTGAAATGGACTGGAATGGCTACAGGTTGAGTATCCCTGATTGAGGTATGCTATGTCAATAGGGATTATTATTTGAGTTGGATGCATCTTTAATATTTTGATCTGTCTGTTACATTGCCGCATATTTATTTTATGCATAGACAGCATCTCTAATAAAGTACTGTACATTTCAATATGTAAGACCATGAAGCAGACACTTGTTTCCTGGTTCCACATTACAGCACTTACTCCTTTCACTGTTGTACTGAACAGTTTTCACGGATGAAGCCTTTAGCAAGGTTCAGTTTGCAAAAGGTTCAATCACCTACTACAACAGCACTGTAATGGTAGACTTTTTAGAGGTTTTTAAACCTTTGTACTCCAGTTTTAAATATGTTTGAAAGGACAATAAAGACTGATTTCCTTAAAACTCGTTGTTTGTACCATTTTCTTAAATATAAGAACATTTAACAGAAAAATGTTTAATTATATTAAACATTAAAAAGACAGCATTGCATCAAATTCAAAGGTTATTAGCAAAATGACAATCTTCCTTGTAGCATGTGTATTAATATTTTATCAGAAAAAAGTAGATACATTATTTGTGCTAATTGACATGCTATCATCAGGAGGGGAGACCTACTGTGAAGATCACAGGCTAGTAATGGGTGTTGCAAATACTTTACACCAGATCGCAGATACTGTGTTGTGAAATTTTGTGCCTGTTCACTTGTTTCTGAGTCCTAGACAAAATGTGTCATTTCATTCTACTAATGTTCAGTGGAGCTCAGGCAAAACAGACCCATTCTCATCTAGCCAGAAAGCCAGTTACATGAACAGCATAAAGATGCATTTTTCTGCTCTAATACCATATCATGTGAGCATGAAACTGCAGCAAATGAAATGCCGGGACATGATCAGTGAACATGGTCATGCAGTCAGGTAGCCATTGATCACTACAAGTGGTGAACTGTAGCAACTAGTTCAAGCAAGGGGCTGGGTCAGCATGTGTAGGCTGCAAAGGAACAGGTAAAGGTTTATTCCATGCTGAAAACAAAAGAAAAGAGACACGGTGTTTCCTTGTGACACCTGAAGAAGGGTTACACTTGGGTATCCTTCATTGGTTGTTCTGTTAAACACAATAGTTAAGAGTATTGTTCTGCATGTATATGGCACACTGGCTGATGTCCATCAGGGCTTTTGTACACAAAACCTATTCCACTTCTGGCAAGTCAAGGGGTGACTTATTGAAACCTTCGACGTACAGCACCAAGGGCACAAAAGCATTGTTCTTTTGATAAATGGGGCATATTAATTCCTTGACAATCATTAGGTTAAATCACCTCATCACATGTTTTCAACCAGCCCTCTGATTCATGAGCTGATTTAGTGCTTGTGCAACAAAGTAACTCAAATATAGTAGGTTCTCAACATCGGCCAATTTAACATTTGCTTAGTCACAATTTGGTCTAGTTGATGGTTTCTTGTATAGAAGAGCAGAGCAGGATTAAACTGAGCCAGAGGCTGGTAAATGCAAATTTCAAATTAGCCAAGCAACAGACTAGGATTGTCAGACAAATCTGGCTAGTTACTGAGCCTCTCCGTCCCCCACACAAGTACACACTACCCAGAATCCACATCTCAACGTGGTCCTGGTTTTATATTGTAACAAACACTCCTGGTTCTTTGGCAGTAGCATGGGAAATGACAGGCTAGAGATTATTTCACAGGCTCACCGATACCTTTATTGCCCCTTTCCTTGGAGTGAAGCATAAAGTGCAGGCATCTGCTGGATGCACAGGAGAGATTCATGTTATTTCAGCTGTAATTATAATTACTGTTGTTTGTTGTATTTGATCAATGTTACTTTAATTTAAAGCCAAAGCATTAGTACTTTATTTATCATATAAGGGAGGGCTACTTGCATCTTAGCCATACATACTATGACTACTGACGACAGTTCTCTCCACTGAACCCTTGCGAATGTCGTGACCCTACTATATATACACCAAACAAACACTGTATATTTTATTTTTATAAAAAAACCTACATACAGAGTTATGTTTCTTTTGATAGTCAGTGTACAATGAAAATAAAAGCATTCCCAGGGAAACTACCCGTGCTTTCCATTACTAGTGAATGCAACTGCCAACAGAAGGCAATTCAATTAGGGTAGCGATGGCAAACTTTGCACTAGCCCATACAGCTTTGAAAGGACTCAGTCATCAGGTGTCAAGTATCTCACATACAAATCTTCCAATGCACATGAAAAACAACTGAAGTTTAACAAATACATTTTTCAAATATGTGCATTAAAGGTCCATAGTTATTGTAAAAATATATTACAATGGCAATTTTAATTAAATTAGATGCTCTTGAATCCAACCCAATTACAACACGTAGACAGACGGCAGGTTTCAAATATCAAATAATTTTATTTAATCATTCTGCTACACTTCTATAACACTTTGCTATATTCTCCGCCGTTAAACAAGATGCACAGGTGAGCCCCGTATCAGCCGCGGCCCCTCAGAAAACACTGTGGCTCTGACAGGGTCTCTGTAGGAAGAACTGAGGGAACTAGTTGAACAGTGGAATACAGAGAACAATGACAGAGGACCTTCGAGCAAGCGGAAGTGATTTCTCAACCAATTTCTCTGCAAGACCTTGTTTAGAAGTTCTAAATAGTGCTTTGATTGTATCCTGCTGCTTGAAAACAGCTTAATTCTTTGCTGTTCTCAAATGACAGACATGATTTTCACAGGCTGTGTAGTTCAATCACTGGGTCTGTCCACTGTCTGTCCTACGAGATGAATCACTCTCTCTCCTGTACTTGGTGTGATATCACAGACTGGGCTTCTCCTGCATGGACAAGGAACTCCACAAAGGCTCTTTAATATGGTCTGGAAGTTTTTCTATAGCAGTCTGCAAAACAGGAAAAAAAAATCAACACTGTCCTCATTACATTTCTGAACTGTTGTAAAGTATGCCCTTTAGAAAGGGTTAACCAGTCAACTATACAACATCCAACCAAAAAGCATTTCCAGAATGATGTCACCACATGTTATTACTACGCTTTTTTTTTCGTCCCAGATGAGAAATGCCTGCTTTGAAGGCATGTAAAAGGACATACAGTGCCTTGCGAAAGTATTCGGCCCCCTTGAACTTTTCAACCTTTTGCCACATTTCAGGCTTCAAACA